ACATAATTGGTTTCACTGAGCTTGGAGAGAACCTCAAAAGGACCCTCAAACTTTGGAGACAAAGAGGAACCCACAACAGGACTCAATAACAAAACCTGGTCTCCAGGTTGTAGCACTCTAACAACTGCCTTTTTGTCAAACTTCACTTTCATTTTCTGCTTTGCTTTGCTTAAGTGTTGCTGAGCTAGGAGATTAGCCTCCCTTAGCCTTTTCTGGAACGTCTTGACAAACAAAGGTGCACTAACACCTGCAGAAGGAGCTGGCCACAGAAACTTCTCTTTCAGGGCTTTGAGGGGGCCCCGTGGAGAGTGGCCAAACACAAGTTGGTGGGGACTGAATCCAGTGGATTCCCGAATGGTGTCCCGAGCAGCGAATAACACAAATGGCAGACCATCTTCCCAAGATCTGCCAGAGGTAAAACAATATTTCTTTAACATGGCCTTCAGAGTCTGATGCCATCTTTCCACGACTCCCTGGCTTTCCGGGTGGTAACTAGAAGACTTGTGATGTTCAATGTGCAAGGTCTCTGCTACTTGAGCAAAAACCCGTGAGGTAAAGTTGGTGCCCTGGTCCGATTGTATGACTTTAGGCATTCCAAACACAGAAAATAAACCTGTTAGGGCCTTAATGATGTTAGCAGCTGTAATGGAAGATAATGGTACAGCCTCAGGAAAGCGGGTGGCAGAACACATAATAGTGAGAATTACGGGTAAAAATGTTATAAATAACAAAATATCCCGGACGAGCCCCCACTCTTTTACGTCCCTCGGCTTCGCTAGGAGCACGATGTGTTTAGGGAGTAAAGAAGATTTTGTACTGTAAATGAAGCGAACACTTTTACAGTTCTCTATAAGATATTTATTAAACAAAAACGAAGCTCTAGGCTGAAAAGGGAACAAAAGGGTCATCCAAAACTGGGTATTAATAAACAAATGAATTTCCCAATAAAGAAAAACGATATCTACTAATAAACCAAAAGCGCAGCACATAGGCTGGAATAAGGCTAAACGGAAAACGCAAAACTGCACCAAAAGGGTGAGGCAAGTCTCTCTATAACGAGGACACACGAATTACTATTAATATTATCAAACACAAAAATACCACTAAGGTCTTAACACAAACGGAAATACCACTCAGGTAGCGAATCGAAGACTTTAACGTCTGTAAGCGAGGAGAGCTAGAGAGGAGAGCAAACACCTCCGTGCCAACACCCATCTGCACATCTCTCCCAGAATATCTCCAAGAGCTCCCTTTTAACAGGGAGGCTCAATTTATCTAACAGCCTGCAGCTGTGCAGGCAGCGGACCGAGGGCCTCTTGAGGCCAAAAGTAGACGGTGCACGTCACACTTGTGAAAGCTGATTTGAAGTTTATTTTTTCTAGACATATTTAGAAGAAAAATTTCAAATATATTAAAATCCATATGGAACTATTTGGATTTTAGCAGCTTTCATGTGATTTAATAAAATTTTAATTTGACATTTTATGTTCTCTCTCTTTGTTGTGAAAAAGTTAGATATGTTTTAGTACTTAAAATTAATGCTTTGCATCCGTCCACACGTGTAGCTGCTGGTCAGCTAATAGCCGTGTCATTTCAGGACATGTTGCTTCAACTATTAACGATCTACTTTTAAATCTTTATTCTGAATTGCTTATTCCGTTTTAGGCCACAGTCTTGTTATTGAAATGGAAACAAAAAGAAAGGATGCGTATGGAGATGTACAAAATTGTCAAGATATTGTTGTTGATCAATATCCTCCAGCTCCGTTCTAATGACAATATCCCGTCTGTGTGTGTTGCTGTCCAACTGTCAGACTGACCAGGTCAGTTGAAATGGCAGAGAAATGAAAAACGGCAGACATCAGGTCGTTTTTTAATGCTCCAGAATGTCAAGTAAGTAGAAACTTGCATTTTGATAAAGACATCTATAAGAAATAAATGAAATGCCTATGAAATTGTTTCTAAATGGTTTAATTAGGCAAAGTCTTGAGCACAGGCAGCCAGAGCCTGTCAGACACAGGCACAGAGTCACAGGTCAGTCTCTTATAAGGACATACAGTGTTGTCTGTAGAGAGCATTTTTTTCATGTCCCCCCAAAAATTACTCTCTGAAGTTTTACTGTTTATTGTCCCCCCCACCCCCCCAAATTGTAATGAGATTTCCGCCCTTGTAGTGACCACTGACCCGCGCTCCTCCATCCTCCCTCTGAAGGATGGAGGGGAGCAGAAGGAGGAGACGCTCCTAGCTGGGGCGCGTGACAACGTGGCGCTTATCAGCCAATAACTGGGACTTCCCACTTTTCCACATTTCTATTGGTTAGAGTCTCCCCATGGCTTCACTGATTGGCTAATGACCAGTTAAGTCCCGCCCCTCCCGCCTTTGTTATTTAAACGTGCAGCCTGCTGACGCGGACTTGTGAGACCGTAAACGCCGCCGTTAGACTCTGTGAGAAGCGCCGAGGAACCGGTGAGTGTGTTTTCTAAACGTTTGAGTCTAGCCGCTGTTTCCTGTAGTCCTGGACTGAAGGCACGCGCCACATTCCTAGTCGTAATTTGGCTTTGCCGGGACTTCACACCAGTCCTGTTTCTGCGCTTCTACCGTCTACAGCTCACCTGAGTCTTCATCGGGTCCTGAAGTTCTACAGACATCTGGCTCACCCCCAAATCAACGTGGTTTTGCTGAAAAGCTGTAATACAGCGTAGTGCTGCAGTCACGTGTGGCCCTTATTTAGGCATTTCAGTGCATCTTACTTAAACTTAAAAAACAGCCTAAACCGTCCAAAAAGTTTTTTTGTTTCATTGGGGCCTCGTATATCTGAGAGTTAAACGTGTCGAGCCCTGACTGAAAATGTTTGTGCAGTTTAAACGTATTGCACACCTTTTAAAAATGATGTTCTGCTTTCATTAATCAGTTTATTTAAATAATGCTTACCCCTAACCCAAACCATCAGTGCATTAGGTTCGCTCCATCGTTCCAGTTAGTTAGGTTTCCTATGCAAGGAAACCCAGCAGGTTGCATCGAGTCACTGACTTGTTGTGTCAGAGACTTTACAGCAATCCTCATACTGCGCAAGCACGTAGCGACAGTGGAGAGGAACACTCTCGTTTAGCAGGAAGAACCTGGGTTAGTATGAACCGAGCCAGCTGGAGGCTAGTCCACGACTCGGCTGCAGTCCAGTGCAGTGCAGCCATGTAATCTGGTACAGGTCACTGGGTACCTCGTAGCCAATGGCTACGGCTGATTAAATTTCTACGTAGAGCAGAGTTTTAACCTGAAAACGTCGCAATAATGGAGGTTTTAGGCTGAATATTTAACTTTTCAATAAGATGCACTAAAATACCAAAATGGTGACTGCACATGTCTACAGCACTAGACACTCGTCTATACAAGTCATCAGCAAAGTCAAGTTGACGTGGGGATGCCTCTCTTCAAATGTCACAGATAATATCAAAGTGCTAAAGTTGGACCACGACTGTAGATGTTTTGTTTACTATGCTCTGCTTCTCCTATGCATCTTTATTTCTTTGGGTTGACCTTGAATGAATGTTGGAGTTGGGGAACTACAAACCCTCCAGCATGGTTTATGTCCCGCTGTGTTACGTGCTCTTTGATTTCTCGTGATGTTCTTCATGCACATGTCCATCTGTTTCCCCCCTAAGCCTTCAGACGTCAGTCATGGTGCTGCTGAGTTCACTGCTGCCCCTCTGTGTCCTGGCTGCCGTCGCCTTTGCCGTCCCTGCTCAGGAGAAACGCGTCCATCACCAGGCTGATCTGAGTGACCACGCTCATGACGATTCACACAACTACCAGTATGACCATGAGGCCTTCCTGGGCAAGGAGGAAGCTAAGACCTTTGACCAGCTGAGCCCGGAAGAGAGCAAAGAGAGATTAGCGTAGGTTCTGCTGGCCTGCTGTAGATGGTGCTGCTTATAGATGCTCATGTTGGTCCATTTACTTGAATGTGTTCAGACATAGACAAACCTGCACAGAAATCACTCCACTGTGTACAGAAACAATTTCTTTGTTAATCAATATTTGGAGGGAAAATTGCAAGAGGAACCTGAGAGGAACCAGCGTGAAGCTGCAGCAAGAAAGAACACTTTCATGAAGATGGAACCAAAGATGGAAAAGTTACAGTGGGGCAAAAAAGTATTTAGTCAGCCACCGATTGTGCAAGTTCTCCCACTTAAAATGATGACAGAGGTCAGTAATTTACATCATAGGTACACTTCAACTGTGAGAGACAGAATGTGAAAAAAAATCCATGAATTCACATGGCAGGATTTTTAAAGAATTTATTTGTAAATCAGGGTGGAAAATAAGTATTTGGTCACTTCAAACAAGGAAAATCTCTGACTCTCACAAACCTGTAACGTCTTCTTTGAGAAGCTTTTCTGTCCTCCACTCGTTACCTGTATTAATGGCACCTGTTTGAACTCATTATCTGTATAAAAGACACCTGTCCACAGCCTCAAACAGTCAGACTCCAAACTCCACTATGGCCAAGACCAAAGAGCTTTTGAAGGACACCAGGAAAATAATTGTAGACCTGCACCAGACTGGGAAGAGTGAATCTACAATAGGCAAGCAGCTTGGTGTGAAAAAATCAACTGTGGGAGCAATTATCAGAAAATGGAAGACATACAAGACCACTGATAATCTCCCTCGATCTGGGGCTCCACGCAAGATCTCATCCCGTGGGGTCAAAATGATCATGAGAACGGTGAGCAAGAATCCCAGAACCACACAGGGGGACCTGGTGAATGACCTGCAGAGAGCTGGGACCACAGTAACTAAGGTCACCATCAGTAACACACTACAACGGCAGGGAATCAAATCCTGCAGTGCCAGACGTGTTCCACTGCTGAAGCCAGTGCATGTCCAGGCCCGTCTGAAGTTTGCCAGAGAGCACATGGATGATACAGCAGAGGATTGGGAGAATGTTGTGGTCAGATGAAACCAAAGTAGAACTTTTTGGTATAAACTCAACTCGTCGTGTTTGGAGGAAGAAGAATACTGAGTTGCATCCCAAGAACACCATACCTACTGTGAAGCATGGGGGTGGGAACATCATGCTTTGGGGCTGTTTTTCTGCTAAGGGGACAGGACGACTGATCCGTGTTAAGGACAGAATGAATGGGGCCATGTTTCGTGAGATTCTGAGCCAAAACCTCCTTCCATCAGTGAGAGCTTTGAAGATGAAACGTGGCTGGGTCTTCCAACACGACAATGATCCCAAACACACCGCCCGGGCAACAAAGGAGTGGCTCCGTAAGAAGCATTTGAAAGTCCTGGAGTGGCCTAGCCAGTCTCCAGACCTCAACCCCATAGAAAATCTGTGGAGGGAGTTGAAAGTCCGTGTTGCTCGGCGACAGCCCCAAAACATCACTGCTCTCGAGAAGATCTGCATGGAGGAATGGGCCAAAATACCAGCTACTGTGTGTGCAAACCTGGTAAAGACCTATAGTAATCGTTTGACCTCTGTTATTGCCAACAAAGGTTATGTTACAAAGTATTGAGTTGAATTTTTGTTATTGACCAAATACTTATTTTCCACCCTGATTTACAAATAAATTCTTTAAAAATCCTGCCATGTGAATTCATGGATTTTTTTTTTTCACATTCTGTCTCTCACATTTGAAGTGTACCTATGATGTAAATTACTGACCTGTCATCATTTTAAGTGGGACAACTTGCACAATCGGTGGCTGACTAAATAAATACTTTTTTGCCCCACAGTATGCTTAAATGTCAGACATGAAATCGGGTTTATATTGCTGTTTAAAGTCATGGTGTCACACGTTCTGTTGGAGATCACAACCTCAGCTCCATTTCAGCCCCAGTCAGAGGCGTGCGTGCGTTCTAGCATCAGCTGTAGCCGCCATGTTGGATGGACTGATCCGCTGGCTGACCCGGTCCGATGCTCACACACTCGGATGATTTGAGCTGAAATGAAAGCTTCAGTCCCTGAATCCTCTGCATCACACACCAGGAACACCAACATCTCAACATTTAACCAAATCAAATCACTCCATTAGTTTTCTACACAAGACCATCGTTGTGTAAAGTTCTGGCATGACCATGTGCTATGATCAGTAACCATATGTAGTGTCAGACTTTGTAGCGTAATGACTGCATATTTAATTATGACCAATAAGATGTGATGATTCCGTATAAATATAGAATATCTTTGAATGGTTAACCAGAAGAGTTTAGGATTCTTTGCTTATTCAGGGACCATAAACACACTTCCTATTAATTCAGACAGTCGTCGTCGTCTTCCTCCGCTTATCCGGGTCCGGGTCGCGGGGGCAGAATCCCAACTAGGGAGCTCCAGACCGTCCTCTCCCCGGCCACCTCCACCAGCTCCTCCGGCAGGACCCAAAGGCGTTCCTGGACCACATTGGAGATGTAACCTCTCCAACGTGTCCTGGGTCGACCCGGGGGCCTCCTGCCGACAGGACATGCCCGAAACACCTCCCCAGGGAGGCGTCCAAGAGGCGTCCTGACCAGAGACCCAAACCACCTCACCTGACTCCTTTCGATCCGGAGGAGCAGCGGTTCTACTCCGAGTCCCTTCCGAATGTCTGAGCTCCTCACCCTATCTCTAAGGCTGAGCCCGGCCACCCTACGGAGGAAACTCATTTCGGCCGCTTGTATCCGCGATCTCGTTCTTTCGGTCATTACCCAAAGCTCATGACCATAGGTGAGGATTGGGACGTAGATCGACCGGTAAATCAAGAGCCTGGCTTTCTGGCTCAGCTCCCTCTTCACCACGACAGATCGGCTCAGCGTCCGCATCACTGCAGACGCTGAACCAATCCACCTGTTGATCTCCCGATCCCTCCTACCCACACTCGTGAACAAGACCCTGAGATACTTAAACTCCTCCACTTGAGGTAGGACCTTGTATCTGGAAGAAGTTCTGGGTTTAAAATAATTTGTTGCCTGCTATAAACTACAGAGTTGTTTATTTATAAACAACACCAGTATGCAGGTCTACGATACCCTTGTATGAGTTGCTCCCGGCGGTCCGGAGGTTTGCGGTCAGAGTGGTGAGGTCTCCGGACGTCGAGACCACGGTCCTCAGAGATTAGTAGCTTCCTCTGAATTCAGCTTCCCCGGCCATGAGATGCAACCCGGGTCTGCAGGTTAGGTGTGAAGTTGCTCTGAACAGAGCGGTTTGTCATCACTCGCAGCGTTGTGGCAAGGTTTTGACTTAAGGTGAAAGGAGGTTGTTTCAAAAAAGCTTCTTTCGCGATTTGGCCAAATCGCGTTGTCAGCTGGAAACTGTAACTCGGGAGGTCATCCGAATTTTATTAGTCCCCGTGTTATGACTTCTACGAATCAGAATTTGACATGTTCGTAGCTTTACCAAACATCCCTCAGAAACCACACCTTCCAGATGCTAGCCGTTCTAGTTCCATGGATAAAGAATCTTTAACTTTATGTGATGTGATTTCAACCATATTTTTATATCTTATGAACATTGTGTATGAGT